AAACAATCGAACACAACCGACCTAATACACCTTCATATTCTTTATCATTCAAGTTATCTCGTCCCGTGTCTAGAGAAATGGTTCCTACAGATGGGTTATCTTTTCATCATTCAGACGGTCAGTTTTCGACATAGAACTTTGCACATATGTGCAGCAGTTCAAGTCGCCACACTCTATGTAACACACAAAGCAAGAGAAGAAATTAGAAGAAATGCATAATGCAGACCGTAAACAGAGGTGTGAGACAAAGAGATAGTAATAACGAAGAACAAAACAGTTGCATTGGAAATCATAAGTCACAAGGAGCGGACGCATCTGCTCTTATTAACTTTAGGTTTTAGCTTATTCACAGCTTTCACGGCTGTGTCCATAGCTAACTGTATGTTGTGCCAGGCTACCTCAGGGGAAGTCCTGCTGTCGACCTCAGAAACTAGTTTCGCTATTTCTTCCTTAAATAAGGACTCAGTGTCACGATCTAGTTGGGGACGTAACTGTTTCGTTGCCGTCAATTTTTTATGTCCATTTAGTCGTAAGCATAAACGTGCGCGAACTAGAGCGTGGTCAGAGTCTACGCACGTGTTCCAGAAGGAGCGACAGTCTTCTACTGACCCTCGCCAACGATACCCTATGGCTATGTGGTCTATCTGAGTCCAGCGTTGATTTGGTGATGGAGGTCGCCAGGTTACATAATGTCTTTCTTTGTGCCTAAAGTTAGTGCTGACTAGGAACAGATGATTATCTGAGCAAAACTGGTGAAGACGATCACCGTTGTCGGTTCGTCGGCAGGGAACTCTATACGTACCACCTACATACTTCTCAGTTTGGCACAACTTCCCTACTTGGGCATTGAAGTCGCCTGCTAAAACAACTATGTCTGAACGTTTTGCTGTTTGCAGAAAATTAGACAGTTTCCGGTAGAAGTCATCTTTTAATTCATCCGAACTGCAATCTGTTGGGGCGTAAGCGGAGACTACGAAAAGGCAACGACGGGTAACGCCGTCTTTCCTTCTTTTAACGGACCCGTTCAGGCGGACCGCGCACATACGACTATCTACTGGGATCCAGTCAAGGAGTGATTTTTCCACCCTAACACTCAGTGCTATCCCTACACCTGCGAGTCCTCGTGAGCTAGCTGAGGGGTCTCCCGACACCCTTAAAGTGAATTTTGCAGATTCACCTTGTTGACCGGGTGAGGTCAAGTGAATGACCACACTCGGGTCTTGTATGCGTGTCTCCGAAATACAACATACATCCATGAAAATTTTACTTTCAGATACACTAGAATTTAAAATAGAGGATGGGCTGATATAGGAGGTTTAGTTCAAGCAGAAGGTGGTTTACAGACTATATGAGTTACCGGATTAAAAGTCACAATGGTGAATAGGTGAACAAACACACATGGGATATTAATAGCACATTATTCTTTCGTCAGTCTCATAAGAGTAACATAGCGATCACCAAGTCACGCCAGGTTTATCTCGTTACTACTACTAAATATAGAATGCCACAGAGAATAATATCAAATAGTTACAATATGGACGAAAACTAAATAAATAAAACCTGGAAAGAAAGTTGGTACTTCGATTGTACTAATTTCAAATACAAGTACAAACATGTTATTATCGTATGAGTTTAAAGGCTTGATAACACTTGTAACATTTGTCTAAACTATTGTTAACACAAGAAAAACGACCTATACAATACTAAAACATATGTAATCAAATAAAAGGTAAGCGTAAGTGGCTTTGTTTTTGACTAGTTTTAGAGTAGTAACGTATTTGGATATAATACAAACAAACTGTGTTTTATTTTGAAACCTGACATATTTGTTTGTTTGCGCTGCTCCTTTTCAATCTACATACAAGCAGACCATTAGTAATTATTTAGTAAATTGTTTTTATAAATTATCATCGAGGTTTAAACTGCATATCATCTGCGTTGATAACGTCGATTAAGCTTTTTAGGTAATTATGAACATACTAAATTTAAAAAGCGTCTACCTTCAACAAACATCATCTTGGTAGCCAAACAGTCATTATTTTATGGTATGCACAATTTGGCACTGTCATGCCTAGCGTAACTGCGCCTAGTTAACCAGCTCGTTAGCTTTTAGTGAGTCCCAAGCTCGGGTAAAGAGGGAGGGTTGGGAGTGAGGATAGAAACTTCACACCACTAATCCTATCAAAGTGTTACAAAACCTTAAACGCAAAGAATACATATTAAAAATGCAAAAACTTGAAATAACAATCTTATTCTTCGCTAGAATCGGAGAGGCGAAATGACACAGCAGGCTGGTGAAAGCCAGACTTCGGGAAGCCAGTCAACCAGCCGATATGTCTTCTCTCGATGAAGCCAAGAGTAAGGAAGGGGATGTGGAATGTCCACACAATGTACGAGGCTGGAAAGGCTGCCCAGGTAGCCAAAGGAATGCGAAGATATGGCATAGAAGTGCTGCGCATCTTCGAGAGTAGATGTAACGGGCGTGAACTCTCCAAATTAATAACCCCGGTCACCCAAACGACAACCACAAGGTCACTGAAGCAGTGAACGGCTGTCATGATGTCACCAGTGGCAGCTGAAGCCCTAATACAGTAGGAATGAATGATTATCATAGCGAGATTCAACCCAAAATGAAGGAAGGGAGGTCACAATTATCCAATGCTACACACAGTGCTACAAACAACGCACAACAAGAGAAGGAGAAATTTTACAGACAACTACAAAACAGTAGTGGACCACATCCCGAATGGTGACATCAAAATCCTTATGGGATATATGAGTGCAAGCCGAACTGGGAGCAGATAATACAGGAAAGAACTCGTCATTGGTGGAGAAGCTCTGGCTCGGAGAAATGAATGAGAACGGAGAATTACTGGCGGACTTCTGCTCTTTCAGTGATTTGGTGATTGGAGGGAGCGTGCACAAGTACAAGCACATACACAAGCCTAGCAACACGGAACTCGCCTGACGGTCACACCATAAGCCAGATAGATTTCATCTCAATGCTTCTGCTCAAGAAAGTGGAGACGCAGTCAGCCTGCTGGATGCAAAGTCGAGAAGGAGAGCAGATGTGGGCGGGCTCAGACCATCATCTGGTTCAAGGAACCTTCAAGGTGAAGCTGAAATCCCTCAAAACAAATGGAGACAGACCACTGTATTTCAAGTTCAACACTTAGAAACTGATGGACAGAACTACAAGGGATGCCTGCTTTCACTACAGATCAGATCAGAGCAAAGTAGGAGACACCACATGGCATCACTGAGGTAACGTGCGTGAAAAAACTTCAGAACTCTCTGAGCGCGATATTCAAGGAAACGTGGACGACTGTTCTAGGAAGAAGGAAGGGACACGAAAAGGAATGGCTGTCAACGACACCTACCTGGAAGCTAATCAAAGAGAGGAAAGGAGAGCAGAGGAGGATGGTGAAAGAAATGACTCAATGCAAAGATGGACAACAGAAGAAGGAGAAGCTGAGTTCAATGTACAATGCACTGAATAAGGAGAGGAATGAAGAGTGTTGGGAAAGACGAAAGGCGATTGTACGACACACTAACCGGCAACTGAAGCATAACAAGCGGGCGCAGGTAAAAGAATTCTCAGGACATTGTATCAGATAACCATGTCACTCGCTATCCGGGAAGAGATCAACCCAGATGATGAAACCAATAAAAGATGCTCAAGGGACCCTGATCACTAAGGAGGAGAAACAAATCAAACAATGGGCTGACCACTCTAAAGGACTCTTGAATCGACCATCACCCGCAACTCGCCCAGAAATACTACCAACAACAACACGCACGCAACTGCCTGCTAGTGGACACTACTCCTCCAACGAAAGCAGAAATTCTAATTGTGATCAAGTTACTGAATTCTGACAGAGGGGGTAGCAAGACTAGATGGATTTCACCCGAAGCACTGAAGTGGGACCAAGAGATTACGGCAGATGTGCTCACGCCATTATTACAAAAACTTTTGAAGGAAAGGAGTGTGCCTACCGATTACAAGAAGGGTTACTTCGTCAAGCTGCCAAAGAAGGGCGACCTAGTTAGACCTGTGCAAGAACTGACTGGCGTGGAATAATGTTCTTGTTCACGCCAAGTAAAATACTGAGTCGCATCATCCTGGAGATAATAGAGGGTGCACTGGATACAGAAATCCGCCAGCACCACCATAACAAGCTGGCTAGATTCGGAAAATCCAAATCATGTGCTGATCAAATTCCAACTCTACTTGTGTGAGGAAGAGATGAGAGAGTTTGCTTAATCGTGGACCCAGCTGAAGAGGACGGCAGAAAACATAACAAAGTGGAGATGTGTTGTTGTGATGTGTGACAAGCTTGAATGTTTAAACAAAGTAATCCAAAGATTAACACATTAGTTTTCGGACAGTGTCAACCTGACTTCCATACTAAAAAGAACGACAAATTACTGCTGATTAATAAATGCAACCAAAGAACAACTTCAGAACAGTTAGAATATAGCTTTGTTGAATCTCTTTTATTGTCACAGTGGAATGCATGCAAAAGTGACGATAAGTTATTGAGACTTATATAACCAATCTCTGTCAAGACCTGTGACTGGTTAGCCAGTGTGTGTTTTCCCGTCACTGACTGCAGGGATTCCAAAAGATTGTCCAACTTTTATTATAGAAGCATATAGTCTACAGAATTTAGGGGCGGTGATGTTTATTGATTCCTTTGTTATGCCGAAATTCGGTACAAATTAAATTATGCGGTACGTTGACGGATAGTCACACTTCGGATGCGTGGTACTTTTTATAAAAAAAATATAGTTCAGTGACAAATTATCAGTACTATTCTTAGTAGCAGTTTTAATTTCCATACTGTCTACTAATTTACCTAGTCTTAAAGACTTCTGTGTAAACTTCAATACCAGAAATTGATATATTACTAGCTTACATGAAAAACAAAACAGGACAAACCTGCTTTTATACATTTATAAAATATCTATTTAACACTCCTATAGTAATTAAAACCCACCTGATAAGGAGTATTCACTTGACTGGGATTCACTAATCCGAACCAAGAAGGAGCCATGATCATTGCCCGGTAATTGAAGGTAGTGTTCCGCTTCAACACGTTTCAGCTCTCCAAAATACCACCTACAATTATAACCATCAACCATTAGTTAATTTCCAATACACTCATAGGTAAGAAAAACTATAATAATCATGTATTATCAAGAGCTTAGAATCCTAGGTGTAAGCACCCTCCTGGGTTCGAAATAAAATTGTTTAGTACGTTAAAAACCGAAAGAATGAATGTTAACACAATTTACGATAATAAAAAAACTTTTTGATAAGGTTAAAACAGGTAATTGTAAGGTCATCAGTGTAATAAACACAAGTATGAAAAGTTGGTTTTGATGGAAATTACTGAAATTTAGTTTAGCGGTTGAGAAGATCATTGAACAAAAGTAGTTTGTGAATTCGAAAACTCACATTTTCATAAACAGCTGAAATACCTGATAGCGTATTTGCTATTATCACTCAGTGTATTTCTAAGCAATAACTTCTTTCTGAATTTATTGATATTGCTGCTCATAATGACAAAATATGCTTTATTATCAAACCACAGCATTATCGAAACATTGTTTGGCATTGGAAATTGTTTTTTAAGACATTTATTTCAATGATATTATCATTACTTTTTTTCAATTGTGGCAAAGCTTTTTAAGTTTCCTACACTTTTCATGGAGTACAGTGACCGTTATGAATCGCATTACATAAGCGCTAAGGCTACTATCTAGTTTCCGAAGTGTGAACTCATGACCCAGTAAGAAAAAGTCAAAATCACGTGGTAGTGAGTCAGTATTCTTAGTACAGCGCTAATAGCATATATTCGAAAAAGGAAGTGCCTTATTACAAAACTTCACACATCTGCACAGGATTAATAATTAATGAATAAACTTGTAGGGAAATCGAAAGATTACTATGCGAAAATAGTGGATATGTTGCATTACGAAGAATGTTTTACTAGAGTATTTTATCTTATTCAGGAATCTACAATATTCTAAAATTGAGGACCATTCCAATTAGCATTTAGTTATGTTTTTTTTTTCAAGACAACCTAGAGATCATAACTTGATGTCTGTTCATACAAAAGAATTTTAATATTAACCTAATAATTAGTCCTGCCACCGATATCACAGTAATTAGGACCGTAGATGGACAAGATTTGCAAGTCATACATTATACCTGATAAATGAATTCATGGTTGTAGAGGTAAATAATTGAATGACTGAAGCATAATGGGTCTCAGTACTATGACGCGCTAAAAACGTCACAATAGGAGTAGTTGTAAAATCATAACGTCAATAGTTAAAGATGAAATATCTTACATAAAACACAAAGTAAAGATATTTGAAGTGAATTTTTAAACAGAAGTGCATCAGTCTAAGTTGCGACACTTCAAAACATGAAGAGAATAAAAACTAGAGGACACTAAAATAAGCGAACATAGGCATGGCGAAGATAATAGCTAAGTGAAGATCTACGATAGTGTGAACGATACTGGATCACATCAGTACGTTTCTAAACCAATGATTACGATCCTTCCAAGAAATTCAACTAAGTAATCTGCAGATTCCTACTTGCTTTAGACCCACAACCAACCACTTTATGTATTGACGCCACATTTAGCACTGATTACCCGAAACTTTTTCAACCTAGTTTTACTGACGTTGCTCGTAGAGGAGGATGGCAGTTTGTAAGGTGTAGCATATGCTTCACAGTTTTATACATCAACCTGTCTTTAAGTAATGACATGAACCAGACCTCGGTATTACTTAAATACTCTTTCATCTAGCTCTATTATAGATAAGATTTTATTTTGATAAATCACATAGTGTTATACACGGCAAAAATACCGCAACTTTGATCAAATATCATTTAGCTTTTATATTTGCCACTATCACTATGTTTTACAGTTAACAGTGAAAACTTCTGCATAGTAAAAACGTCCTGTGAAGGCTACTGAAAGTAACCTAAGTTAGCAAATGCCAAACTGGTCTTCTCCACTTGGGGTGAGAAACCTGTCAACAAGCAGCTTATTAATGCTGATGTAACTTCTAAACTAAGTGCAATAATCAGCAAGCTAAACCACTCTACTGAATAAAGAACGAAAGGGATACTGTTTTTACTGACGTTCTGCTATTTAGTGCTAACAGCCTTATCACTACGGAGCATCTGTTTGACCACCGAGAAATCCAGTTGAACTAGAAAAGCTATAAAATCCGGCCACAAAACTGATTTTGACAATATTGAAATAATCAAGAGAAATTTCAGAAATCACAAAGAACGTCTAATATCAGAAGCACTTCATATCAAATGGAATCCAAATTGTCTGAATAGGAATGATGCATTGATGTAGAATTTGACCTGGCTGCAACCCCCTCGTGAAGTGACAAAATAAACACAAATGTGACACGCAATTTTATTATGTAAACACATGCTGTTTTACAATTTTATACGCTTATCAGATACGACAATCTGCACATGGTTTTGTTATCTTTACCAACTGACCAACTTGACAACATAAAAATCACCTCATGCTGAAGAAAGATGATTAAATTACTATATGAGAGCTGGGTTTTGTGAATTCTGGTTTAGTAATACTTTGATAAAGCTACTAACGGTTAGTGGCGAAACGTTAGTGAAAAAAATATCGTTTTGTCTTCATTCATTGAGAGACACAGAGACTTTTATAATAATGAATATCATCTACCAAATGCCCAAACTGTTTCAGAATTAAAAGTGAACCTGGTTTAGGCATTTATAAACCATTTCACCCCATACCCTTTTTATTTTACCTGAAAAATGCATATAGACGTGGTAAATAAACGTAATCCAATAATCTGACATAATTTATTTAATTGTTTACAAATCACAACAATGTTATTTGTTAGTTCTGATGTATTTGTAAATGTCTCAGGAGACCAAAGGATGAATGTGATGCTATACTCCACTCAGAAATAACCCATACTTGTACTCACTTGCAAGTCAGTACTTAGTGGCATCATTTATAGAGAGTATTCGAACAAATATAAAACAGTAAAAATGTCCACAATTTATCAGTGGATTGGTAAATACGAAAAATCAACCAACGAAATGTGAGTACGCCTAGTATCTAACCGATGGTACAAGTGGGATATGGAAATGATTAAGAGGAGTAGAACCTATCCCAGTTATATGCAATTATAAAAAGTCGACCACTGATATATTGCTTAGAGTCAGACGGCGGGTGAAACAGAGAATAAACATAATGATAAGAAGCACTAAAATGAGGCCTTTATTATGCTTCCATAACTGTGTGATACCTAGTTATATCCAATCACCAATCTTGCTGTTATGTTTTCATATGCATCATTTTTTATTTGAGTTATTTTTCATTTTCGACTTCTTATTTTCTTCAGCAGCTCACTATCAACTGAAACTGAAATCTGTTTCAGCTCTCTCATCGACTTAACACCTGCTTTGGAAAAGGCGTCTCCCACTATGACACCTACTTGAGCTATTATTAAACAACTTATGTCTTTCATTGATAACTGTGCTTCCTTGAAAATCACGCAAAAGATGCTTTTCGCTACAATTTGGAGGAATCCTGGATGCAAGATCTTGATGAAATACCGCAAATAACTGCTTTATTTATCTCCAAAGAAAGTGAATCACAGGCACATTTACTTAAAGGACCTTATGACAGCGCATAACAAAAGTCAGTGCTGCGATAAAACCAGGATAAAGACTTTAATAAATGTATCCCAATCGACAGTTATTTTTATTCAGTTACAATGTAATCTTAACTTAGACTAAAAGTGTAAGGGTTGACGAAAATGAATAACGTGCACCTAGAACTCAAAGTGGACTACTTTCACTGAAAACAAGAGGTCCTACAAAAATGAAAAGCAGTGGTTTCAATGATTACCTTAGTACAGAGGAACATCACACTTGGAGACACAGAGCCTATGAGAATGCCGATCGGGTTTTTAACAAAGTCAGCCACAATGGACAATAAATATACTAGTATGAACAAGTCTAGGGTGAACGAGTTAAGGTGGAAATAAACACTTAGAAGCCTAAAGCTGATCTATCGCATTCAAACCACTTGTGGTGATGTGGTGTTACTGAAGAAGTTTTAGATAAGTAAAATATGCAAGATCTGAATGTTTGGAACGTTGGATAAAGCATTTTGAAGCCTAATTCAAAAGATACATATTTCCTGCAGGTTGTGTCTGGGAAAGAATAGTTCACTGAGACCGATATTTTATACATATTTGAAAATTTCCACGCAACGTAGGTAGTAATGATCAGTGAAGCAATTCGATACCAGCTATACCAAAAATATTCCCCACCATCACACTCAACTCATTTTGTAATACATGTGCAAAAGCTGTTTTGTGGCGTGAATCATCTTAGCTACATAATTAAAGAACAAAACATTCATTGCTAGTAACATGTTTCTTGACATGAAATTCCTCTAATCATTTTGCGGGGCCAGTGTCTGAAATGGCCCCTTAGAAGTCTGCTGACAGAATGATACAGAATCACTTTTCTCCAGTGTCTCAAGTAGTTCATTCTCTCCTTGCAAATTGAGATGCTCAAAAGAATTCTAAAGTTAGTGATTATTGTCTAAGTAAATCGAGTGTTGTATTCATGTGGTATACGTTTTTTGCTATCAAAGAACTAATATGTTTGCAAACATAAAATTACAGATTTGTGTGGTGCAACGTCAGAAGCAGTAAAAACTCCATGTAAGTACTGGTGGGTGTGTACCACAGTGTTTCTGGTCTTCAGCTAGAGAGAAGTATAGAGGTCCGGATGACCTTTAACTTTATTACAATGTCAGTCCGACTGCAAAATATCAAGGATACGACGTACTGATGAGCACATTTTCTCCTACAACCAAGAACTGGCTAATACAGGCTGAGGACGACTCGAACACAGTGGTTAGATTACTTGATTATATGGGCAAAATCATGCAAATAAAACCGCAATAGTACGGAACGTGTTCTAGGTGTGATGAAGGCTATCATTTAACAATTCACGTGGAAATATTAGTTTTGATCTGCAAAAGTTTGTATGCACAGTTCTAGCGACTTTCATCTGAGATTAGTTGAAAGCAGAAGAGATTCTTTTAAGGCAATTATTCCAGCTTATGATTTATTAGTACTTTACTATTTTATGTACCGATACTGAAAACGAGGCAATTATGGTTGGAGACACAGGAAGATACGAATCAAAACGTAAATCAATGGCAATCTCCTTCCTCTTTCATGGAAAAGTAAAAACAAACTTTAAAAAATTCTTCTGGATTTATCAGTCCCGTTACCATATCACTCCTATTTTTTATTAGTCTCACGTTTTATGCCTCTTAGTCTTACTCTGTATTTTGTAATACGGTACCTATGTCCTCTCCAGTTTGAAGAAGTAATGATAACCAAAAGATTGTCCCATGATGGTGGAAGCGATTGAAAATATTGCTAATTAGTTCACCACCAAGTAACTGCAATTTGTTAGTCCGTTATATTACTTTTTTAAATTGCCATAAACCGCCAAAGCGAAGTGCCTCAAAAATAAACCATCCAACCACACTCAGAACATTATTTTGGAACAGTGATGGGTACTACATCGTTTTTAAGTTGTGAAAATTACTTACTCATTCGACTCCAAACTAGTGACAGCTGCTAAGTGGTTTTTGGGTACGTAACCTCGATTCCCAGTAGACACGCATTCAGCATACCACCAATCACTATGCGAGTTATCAAGTATATTGAATATTTGACCTTTTGTCATATTCAGATCATCGTCTACACGTTTAACATAATCATGTAGAGCTACGAACTGTCCTTCTGTGGGTATCTGAGAGGAAGAATGAGCCGCATTGTTTCGTATGTGTACAAGGGAATTTTCCTGAAGGTTAACTGGCTGCTGAGTTGCTGGAAAGTTTGTAGACTGATGTGTATTTGGAAAGCATGAATTGTTTCCAACAGTTATTGCACTAGCAACGGTCACTGGAACGCTTGGAAAATCATTAGTTCTTTTTGTTCCCTTAGAATGTTGAAGAATATCAGAAACGTAATTTGCAGTGTACGACTGATAACGTAAATGTTCGAAATTTTGCGAAGAATCAGATACCGCTTGTGTTGGAAGCATAGAAGAGGATATTTGACCATTGTTTAAGACATTCTTGGAAGGAAAAACAGATCGTCTTTCAACTACTGACCGAAGTGAGGGCTCAAAAACAGGATTAGTCCCATCATGCTACAAGACAAAAATAAATCGTTAAGAGGTGAGAAAATCGACATAGGTCAAGTTAAAAGGACATATTGAAGGTCAAAATAACAATGGAAGTCACTAAACCAGAGGTAATAATATATCTTCTCTGGCATCAAAACAAAGTTCACATAGGAAGATATAGTGTGATGAGGAATTGTTTTTGAACGCATAAACTCCCTAATTGCTAGGTCTTCAACAAACTTTAGGTTACGCCTTGAACACGTTTTAAAGATAAGTTTAAAAGATGTGTAAACATCAATTCTATGTCCTGTCTCTAAAATATGTTTTGCAATAGAAGAGTCGTCTGTTCTCACTGTTAATGAGTTCAAAGTCAATTAGGAATACGCTCTGAACCATTTACTTGTAAAGATCGATGAGCCCTCTCTATGTGTGTGGTCACACGTACACTTAAAGTGGTAGCTACAGTGGGATGTGACATCATTTTTTGCAAGTTCTTAAGGCTTAGATGGATATGCGGACTTCACATGCTCAATTATTCTTACCTTCGCTGCATAAAAATTTTTAACCGCAGTAATCAATATTTGTCTAGTTACCAGGTTGATATGATCACCCATACATGGTAGCCTGATACGTACGTCTTTCTTAGAGGCGAGTTGGAGAGTGAATCTCGGTGTTCTGACCACTTTATATCTTCTTGTGAACTCCTCCAGATAATTACTATTAGCCACAGTTTGTGTCAGTTTTCATTCCTCACCTTCAAGTGCGTCTTTTAAGCATACTCCTTGGAGTTTTCTACAGAGGTACCTCATTAAAGATCTTTTGTATCCAACCGGACAGAAGCTGTGGTAATTGAGATACTGCCCCGTACAGGTGGGTTTTCTATAAATACACCGTTTTATTGATCCATCAATATATGTACATACAAATATATATATATATATATATATATATATATACATCACAAGCACTAGAGTTATCAGATTGTTAGAAATGTATTGCACAAACACATTATACGATTCAGATACATTACGTCTTATTGCTCTGTTGAAATTCATGAAGGGAACTAAATGTTACAAAAATACCGTACTCCGGTCAGTTTTATTTCAAACGGCACTTTATTCTTGTTTATCCGCTTGTACTTCAAAGTAGGCACAACTAGTCAATCACTAAGTAGTCTTGAATAGGGTTTATAAAACTAAAGGTTGCGTTTAGTGGGTTTCTACATACTCATACTGCGACTTAGCCAAAAGTGAACAAACTTGTTACCTTTCTAAGGCTATAATTCAAACGCTTATCAAGATGGTTTTAATATGTAGGTATATATATATGTTTGAGCTCTAATGATGAGCAGATATTTTATGTTCCCAGACAGTAAGCTGCAAATTGTGAGAACGCTGATGATATTAACCAGTTACATGGCATGTGGGGCGGGATTCAAACACAGGACCGTAAGCATGAGCCAGTGAGTCATATGTCTACAAACTGCATAATTTCGGTCAATGTAAATATGTGTTGACCATCGGAACTCTAAAACCACTAAAAGTAGTGTTACAGTCAACACGCCTGCAAATAGTAAACTTTAGGATATAAAACTGACAAAAGAACCAATAAACCCAAAAGTTTTATTATTTACTGTAATTACAATGGCACAATAAATTATAAAAATACTGAAATTATTGTGTAATTTACTAGGATATACTATGCTGCTACAGATAACTAAGTCGCACATAATCTTATTCTTATGGATTCCTACGTGGGTAAGACTTATAAGCTCATTGTCTATATGACATCAAATTGACCATTACACTACTATAAACAGCTCTTTTTATCACACAGAAAGACGGCGGCCTGGGGACCTTAAAAGGGTGTCCAGGACTTTAATTAGCTAGACATTCATTCTGTTTGAGACTGCACTTGCATTAGGGCCGCATGACTGAAAGCTAAACACACGTGACAAGAATGTATGCGGGGCCTTAAATAAGGTTTGTTGTCATAGAGCCAAAGACAAGTCTTTAGAAGTTTTCCCTATTAAGAAATTATATGTTCTTAGCAAAAAGCCTTTAACATACTTCGAAATCTAACAACGTGCTGCCGATACAATACAGCCAAGTTTGCCGGAGAATTCCACATGCCATGTTCAAATCTAACTCAATATCTGAAGATTCTACAACGACAAACACCTAGAAAACCCTATGATCTAAAGGAATTTTATCCGACAAGTGTCTCCGCCACAATGAACATCGTGGCACAGATCACGACGCTTTATAACGAGTCTTTAGATCATCGTTAGCATCTTCACAATACAGTATGACGCGTGATTAGTCCTCACTTCATCAGGATTTATGAGTCTGCTTCTCTGTATGAAGCAAACCACGAAACTACTAACGCTAAATGTCACCGAGACAAACTGATAATATATCAGCATAATGACAGAGTACGGAACATACGATGGGACTTACAGCAGAAACGGCTATCCAGCTGCTTTGATCATTACTAGAAGAACTAGAATTTCCCATAACTAGCTATTTCCACAGTAATATGAATCGACAGAATCTAACAATGAACCGTATGCGTCGGACAACATATTTAATCACAGCGCGTCATAACGCCCGAACAATTCACGCGCACTAATGATACACTGTCGTTATGCAACAAAACAACACGTTTCTGGAAATGCATCCAAGTCACCGGTATGAAAAGCCGAGATTTTAGATTTCAGATTTTGAGTGAGATTCAGGAAGTTTATGACCTTTGTCACTTCTTTTCTAGTAGGTATCTGTCGTTATCTATTCCAATCGTAACTGGACGGAAAGTGTCTCACCTTCTTCTGGAGTCAATTACCATAATAGGTGACTCAGTTGTATAACCAATTCCTAGATATGTAGTCCGTTATTGGCCTTTAAACATTCCTGCTAAGATCTGTATGATTATGATAGCTTACTAAAATTAAAAGCAAAGACAACAGAAGCCCCATGAAATTATGAACGACCTATTTATATATCTTCCTTGCCGTCATTTAGTTTGTGTCTAGATAAATCAGTCGTATTAAGAGCTGTACTGTCTGATTTTTGAACTCTTACCAACATGTGTGAGTCCTCTTCCGGGAAAGGGCTGGATTCTTAGTTGCAGTCTACTATTGTAGGCAACACCAGAGATAATATCATTGGTGAGTCTTGTATCCGCCTTGATTCTCACCCACATTTCCTAAAGCCTCAATGTGAAGGCGAACGAAAGCGCTCTGTAATTTAAGTCGGATACTTTCTATAACACCCATACCATGGTGCTTCTCAACAGGAGAAAAGATTTTATCTCAGTGATGCCTGAGCTGATATTCATTGCCATTTGCGTACATTACTAATCTGATGAGACTCACTAATCCTCTGAATCAACCTAACAAAAAGCTGAAACCTATTTGCATTGTAAGCATGTTAATGTCATCCCTCGTGTCGTCAACTTCCAGATCATATGAATTGTAGGAAATTCGGTAATTCGCTGACTCATTAAAAACAAATAAATATACGTCATCTACTGTGTTTCATATAGCTTTGTTCCACCTGTCCAGTTCCAGCTGCGAGTTCATGATTAAGTCTTTACCCTTACTTTCTTGTAAACAGGAAATTCTTTGGTTCACGTTTGCAGACAACCTGTGACCCTAAAAATTTCCAGTTTCATGAACACTTTGTCGAATTTATTACTGAAATTTTCACAACAAATGCAAACGCGTTTCTTTTTACCCCTAGCCCAGAAATACCTTGTCTTACCGTAGCAAGCACTGTGAGACAGAATCAGCTTCTGAGGAAGCCACGTTGTTTTCGACAAAAGGTTTTTCTCCGAACAAGCCAGCATTACCCATTTGCCTATAGTTTAAAGTACAGTTACAGGGACAGTTTTGTGGATAGGGCATCTAACACTTGAGTATGCAGTAGTATGAGGATAACAGTCAGATGCATGGCTGTATGGCGTCCTACTACTTTTAGAAACCTCGGATAAAGTTCACTGAATCTAACTGACCTGTGCGTCTTGTTTGCCTAGGAATTGAATACAATGTTTCGTTAAATATCCGCGGAACATTCCACGTCTATAGTTGAGGCGACCAAACATCGTACCAGAGATCGAAGTAGTCCAACAAGTCAGGTGAATTGAATTTTTTTAACCTTCTACTAATTTTGTCCATACGTACGGATTGGAACACATGGTTGATGGTTAATTATTCAAAGGAAAACAGCTTGGCGTCTACGTTGTGTTGTGATTGCTTATCTTTGTAGTCCCTTCATATTACTGAAAATAAGCACATCTTTAAGCAGCAGCAACATTTTTATCCTGCCGTCACTAACTATGGTGGTTTTGACAAAATCCTGGCCTTCGGTTTAGGTGGGCTAGGCTAAAAAGTCAGCAGTCGACCAAAACTCACGTCTAGCAGGAAATGTAACCACATCGCAACCATGAACTTCGTTTTTGTTTGAAGCCAGTCTGTTCAATCAGCTTAACTAGTTGGTTTCCCAGGATTGATGAGTCCAATGTGTTTTGTGTTGACCCAGTCCTTTCTTGCTGTATATTTTCACCTAAGTCTTGACATGTTACATGGCCACGTTTTCTGCTACCAACTGCACAACAACTTTTGGAAGCCATCGAAAACCAGTTCTATGAAAGCATAAAAGCATAGTATCAAAATGCTACTGACAAATGCATCCACGAAACAGGAAGTGCCCCAGGCGAGAATCGATTCATTTTGATTTTTTCAATCAGCTTTAATTATGCGACTATCCTAAGCTTTAGTCTAGCCTTCATTTTCAGTGGGCACTAAACATATTCATACAATTATTGTAAATTTCATGGTATATTAGGTAGCTCTGATTACTGAATCATGGTGCTCATACTCTGTACTTGATGTGCATATAGGCATAGATGATTACACTGTACACCGTGCAAATAGAGACTGCAAGCGTGGTGGAGGATGTCTCATATATATACATAACTCATTCGTAGCCAGTAAGGTGGAAGATGAAATACTGAACGATGTACCTGATTCACTCTGGGTCGTCTTACAAGGAGATAAGTACAAGCTTCTCATAGGCTGTGTTTATCGAGCACCAAGCTCAACCAAAGAAACTGATGCGTTATTAGCTAAATCATTCGCACATGCCTCATCGTTTAGTACTAATTACAAAATAATTGCAGGGGACTTCAATCTTCCAGAAGTCAATTGGTTAAGTAGTTCCGGCCCCCAACGCTTCGACGAATTACTTGCCACTATCGATTGTTATGGATGGCAACAACACGTCCAGACACCTACTCATGGCGACAACATGTTGGACCTTGTGTTTTGTCATGACACAATCCCAGTCTCCACCTATGTTGGTAACAGATTTTCCAGTAGTGACCATAGAATGGTACTCTGCTCTCTGCCTTTCTCACCACTAAATACAGTTACAAACATACAGACTGGGGATTAGTCCAAGAACTCATTCGACTCTGTCACTGGGATGAATATTTTACCACTGACTCCCTGGAGACTGTAGTGTCCTTATTTTACAGGAATGTTATCCTTTGTCTAGATACTGTTGCTCCTAAGAAGGTAGTGAAATTAAGTAGACACCAAGCTGAATACATTTCGAGGGCATGCCGCAATAAGTTAAGGAAGTTGAAAAAACAGTACTATTCCACTAAGGATATATCACTACTGCACTCAATCCATCAGTCTCTTGAATCTATCAAGCGCCAACGCTCTCAAAAGGACCTCGACGAAGAAATAAGGGCACTTGAAAGCACCTCCAAAGTTTATAACTTAACAACACTTAAAAAACGAATGCAGTCGACGATGGACATCCCCTGTTTACTTCATGACAAAGTTATCTACAATGAGCCTGCCACTATCTGTGAAATATTCAGTAATTGGTTTGCAAACTTCAGTTTGGAAACGCGCATTCCTGGTGAAACCGGCCCCCTTACTAGCTCTTCCCTCGGAAGTGTATTATTATTATTATTGTTCCCTTGGGTTCCTAGTGGAACATAGGGCTTCAACTGCACGTCTCCACTTGCTTCTGTCTTGTGCTGTTCTTTTCACTTGCGTCCATGTTATTCCATACTGTTTCATCTCCTCCTCACACGATCTCCTCCATGTCACCCTTGGACGTCCCACTCGCCGCTTCCCTTTCGGGTTCCACTCGAGGGCTTGACGCGCGATGTCACTCAACGGCCTCCTCAGCGAGTGTCCAATCCATCTCCACTTCCTCCTGCATATTTGTTGAGCGATTGGTTCCTGTTTCGTTTGTTCCCATAGCTTCTTGTTTGTGATTCTTTCTGGCCATCTAATCTTCAGTATGGAGCGAAGACAGTTGTTGATAAAGGTCTGCAATCTGTTGGAAATATTCCTTGTGACCCGCCAAGTTTCTGATCCGTAAAGCAAAATTGACTTGACGTTTGTATTGAAAATCCGAATTTTGTTGTTGATACTGAGTGACGAAGATTTCCAGATTGGTTTCAGGTTGATGAATGTGTTTCTCGCCTTCCTGATTCTCGATTTGACATCCTCGTCTGTTCCTCCTGTGGTTGAGACAATGCTCCCCAGATAAGTGAATGAAGTAACCTCTTTCAAATCCCTCCCGTTGATGGTGATTGGCACTGGATGTTGCTGCTGTTGTTGTTGTTGGTTGGTTATTTTCATAACCTCCGTCTTGTCTATGTTCACCTGGAGTCCTGTCTTTGCTGCTTCTTCGACCAGTTTGTCGGTTTTTGCTTGTAAGTCTTCGATTTTGTGTGCCATCAAACATAAATCATCCGCAAAATCCAGGTCTTCTAGGTTCTTCACGTCGGTCCAGGATATCCCTGTCTTCTCGTTTCCCACTGTCTGACGCATAATCCAGTCCACCACAATTAGGAATATCATTGGTGATAATAAGCACCCTTATCTGACTCCTGTGTTTACTCCAAACGCTTCGCTGAGTTTTCCGTTGTGGATCACTTGACATGTGCCGTTGTCGTACAGCTGTTGAATAAGGTTGATGAATATTTGGGGTACGCCGTAGTACTCGAGTAGTTTCCAAATTACTTCGCGGTCAACGCTGTCGAAGGCCTTCTCAAAGTCTATGAAGTTGAGGTAGAGATTTGATTGCCATTCCATGCTTTGTTCGATGATAATGCGTAGAGTTGCAATTTGGTCAGAACATGATTTGCCTTTCCTGAATCCAGCTTGTTCTGGTCGGAGTTCTGTATCCAGCGCGTCCTTGATTCTCTCCAGGATGATGCGACTCAGGATTTTACTTGGCGTCGACAGGAGCATGATTCCTCGCCAGTTCTTGCAGAGTCCCAGGTCGCCCTTCTTTGGTAGTTTCACCAGGTAACCTTTCCTCCAGTCAGTAGGCACCTTTCCCTCTTTCCAGATCTTTTGCAATAATGGAGTCAGCATATCTGCCGTCGTTTCTGGGTCCGCTTTCAGTGCTTCCGGGGGTATTCCATCTGGTCCAGCTGCTTTTCCAGCTTTCAGAAGCTTGATTGCATTCATGACTTCAGTTTTCGTTGGAGGATTGGTGTCAACTTGCAGTTGTGTACGTGCTGTTGTTGGTATTACTGGACGGGTTGTAGGTGGTGGTCGGTTCAAGAGTCCTTTGAAGTGGTCCGCCCATTGTTTAATCTGTCTTTCTTCTTTGGTAATTGGGTTCCCT